GGTCAGTTTTTACAAGACCCAAACCCATTTGCTTGTGCCTCCTTATCAGAGGGCCAAGACTTAACTTGAAGGCAGCAAACCCGAGGCACACGGAGCCTTCAGCTCCTCCAGCACTGCTGGGCTCTGTGCACTTGGGTCACTGCACAATTAGCCTGCCCTGAAGAGACGTGAGGCAACCAGCCATCACTCAAGCTACACGGAAGCCACTCTCTGAATCTCAACTACGGAGGAGCTGTTTGCATGAAAACAGAGACTGGGAATAACACCACCGGAGGAGCAAGGTTTTTGAGTGATATCTCTTGAGAGATGTTGGAACAAAAAGTTTGAGGACAAAATGTACTTCTCCCAGTGCCAAAGCACTAACTAAGTCCAGAGCTGATACGGCCTTGTAGAGCCTATCTAATCTATTGCTTCCTCCTGCAAATACAGACAGTCCCATGGGAGAATGGACTGCACCTCAATGAACAGAAGCGACAGAGTTTAGATCCTTCTCCCACTGCTAGTCAGCTCATCCCATAGTTACTGAAACAACTCACATAACTAAGGACGAAAAAAAAAAAAGGACCTAAACTCATGGTCCTTAACTCTTTTTGTCCCATCCCCCTTCATGCCAGCAGTACATGGCTACACAGCAGTGAGGCTCAGGACCAAGCACACTGCAAGCTGGTCACACCAGACCCTGTGTTCACACTGTCCTTGCTCAGGGACAGCTCTGGACCTGAGCTGCATCCCCTCGAAGCAGGGTAGAGGCAGGGACAAAAAGAGGGTCCTTTATCTGGAAAGCACTGAGTGGGTCAGCACAAGAGGAGGAGTGTCCTTGGGCCCAGAAAATTGCAAAGAAAGCAGTATGGGAGAGGTAGATTGAAGATGAAAAGACACAGCAGCCCCTCTCCTAGTGACTCCCTAAATCTTCCCAGACTTCCATCAATCCTCTCCAACCCCCCTTCCCATCTTTATGCCCTGAAAACCTCAGCACCCTCCCAGCCTCAGCCCACTTGAATCCCGCCTGATCCCTCCTGGCTCCTAGTGCCCAGCCACACAGGGCCTCAGGCATGGCTAGATCCTGTCACTAAAGATTTACTCTCTGGGAAGTAACTTGATTGTCCCTGCGGGACATAGGAAGAAGTGACTTGCATATAAAGAAACCAGTGGCAGGAACAGAGATCCTCCAAGATAATTATCAGAGCAGCTACCTCCCTGGCTGTGAGCCTGGGTACAGGCCAACGCTCAACAAATGCCTTTTTCTTAGCCTCAACAAATGCTTCTTTCTAACTTTTCTCTGACCTGCTTTCATTTCTCCTGCCTCTCTATTGTGCCCTCCCAACTGCTACACCCCTAAAAACTCTGTATATTATTTTGATTGTCTCCTGTTTGCCTCTGGCATCGACAGAGCCTGTGCCAGGCGATTCTAGCAGTTTTTTAAGAAACAAACCAAAGCCCATGAGCAGATACATTCCTCTGCCTGCAATGACAAAAAGCTTTAATTTCCTCCAACCCCCAAATGAAAAGGAGCCATAAAGGTTTGCTAATTAAACAGCTCTGCCTCCAACTCATTCTTCTTGCAGCAATGCTTCTCTCAGGTGAACTCAGCCACCAAGGCTATTGCAAATTAAGGACAGTATTTCATTAGTTAAGCAACTCCTGCCCAACAGTATTTAAGGGGAATGTGGAGTCCAAAAGTGGCTAGCATGACAGCAGAGAGCCACTTGCTTTCACTGCTTGATTGAAAAATAAAGCAAGCTTTTTCACAGAAGTTTTGACTAAGTTTTGAGCTCCAAGCAGAAGATCCAAACCAATTTCACCAGTGCTCCTAGGTTATGTCAGGGGAGATGGGAAGTATTTCCACTGCAGGACTGGGCTGATGTTGCTTATGTGGCAAATCCTCTGCCATGAGACTCCAGATTCACCCCATCAGCACTGTACACTCTTGGGGACAACAGGCCTACATACGCTCCCTGTACACAGATGTGCCCTCAAGCCTAGTATCCAACTGATGGACAATCACTGTCCCCAGCTGCCTCTGAAGATCAGGGTGCTCATCAAGGAATCTTTTCCCATTGGCCACTGAATGAATCAAAAAGTCAAAACTTATGAGGAGTTGATTGGACCTTTTACTATCTATCTTGGAGAAAGTGATTTCTGAAAATACAATCTGAAAGCCTTCAAAAGTTTCTCCTTTGGCTTACAGTTCTGCAAAGTGCTCACAAATAGAGCTGCACCAAAGCTACTGACTGCAAAAAAATGAAGTGTTAACTAACTCTTCTGAAAGATCCCAAAGTGTTTTGCAGACAGGAATTAATTAAGCTGCAGATCAACCCTGTGAATTATTTTAAGAGCGACTGAATTTCCCCTGTTATCTCTCAAGGACACGTGCAGAGGAACAAACCAAGGTCTGATGAGAAACCATCCGCCTTAAACCCACTAATCCACTGCACTGGCTTTGACTAATAGACAAGCCAAAATAAACTCAGAGCGTCTGAAATCCCAGTGGGAAGTCAGCTCAGTCTCTCTTTGGTGAGCCCTCTCTGGGAACCCCAGCTACTGCCAAGGAACCCGCAGAACACGGAGCAGACAGCACCACGTCTATTTTTAGGGGAAGAAAGCAGGTTTGGAGTGACATGTGGCTATTAAGAGCTCTCTCAACAGGGTGATTAGTCTGCTAGTCATACCTGTCAGGAGCTGCTGTCCCAGTTGTGTGGGAAGCTGGCAGGGAAACTTCCCTGCCAAACCCCTTTGACACTGTCAGCAAACAGAGGGACATGAGACCCAGATGAGGCACCCAGCTGCCATGTCACATCAGCACAGTGAGTTCTGCCAAGCCTCCAACGAAAGGCACCTTCTCCTTTCCAAAAGAGCCACTGGAAATATGGCCAGAGAGCAGAGACATCAGGGCGAGCAGAGAAAACCGCTGCCTCTGGAAGCACCAGCTGCAGCTTCTCCTCCTGGGGCTTGAGCAGGTTTCTCCCAAGGCCTCTTCATGGTCAAATACCAGAGAGGCCAAGCTGTGATACCCAGGCACCAAGCCAGGCACAAAAGGGCTTCTCGATCTGACACCCTCAGGTGCCACATCAGCACACAGGATGGGATCAGAGACCCCGCTCGCACGTTAGCTCATGGCAAGTTAGCTCATGGCACAAAAAGGCAGCTGGGATGCCTGGGCCCCGAACTGAAGTGCTGCTGCCACTGCACGTCACTTGGCTTTAGATTCCTTGTCACTTTTAGAAAAAGCTGGGTTTAGCCAGGGAATGTGCACACATCAGCAACCATGCTTAAACATCCCTCCTCCTCCTCCTCTGCACTTGGGGGAAACATTTAATTCAGTGTTCAATGTCCCTTCAAACCTAGCCAAGCAAGTAGAAGACAGCTTAATAACATCAGAGCAGCAGAGTCCATCAATTCTATGCATTTTATACATTGTTGGGGATATGGTACCTTTTCGTTTAAGGTCAGCAGTGATTGTGCTATTCCTGAACTCACAGGTCAGATTAAACTGCCTCGTTAACAACATGCAATTCAACTCTGAAGCAGTTTGCAGAAGGACGTGATTTTAAGAGACAACAGCATTCATACCTGCACATAGTGCTGCTGCTGGCCACCAGAATCACAAGTAGACATTCAAATTCCCTCTGACCCATCATGCAGGACTTTCACACACTGCTAACTGCACCACTGGCTGCTTTCAGGGTAGAAGACAGCAGCCGCGTTTGTGTGTGTGACCAGTCCCCGCCGGGGAACCCTTGTGAAACCAAGGCCAGTGACAGACCAGTGGCTGCCACATGACCAAGAAGGACTCATCAACCAACAAGCAGAATTGACCTGAGCCAGAGGGATGGCAGCCTTGAGAGCTCTGATGGTCTCGGACTGTGGTTTCAATGGAAGTAAAAAAGCCTGATGTGTATAGGACACATCCATGTCCCCATGGGTGTCTCCACGGCTCCCAGACCCCATCTCCAAACAGGCTGCCATGCTGCTGTATTTTCTATACTCTCTTAGCACAGGGTAGATTCTCATTCTCAGCAGTGTCTGGTTGAAGAAACTTGTTTAAAATCCATCAAAACATTCTGGATTGACACCTGGGTGATTAGTTTCTGGCCAAAGACCATGCTTAATACAGAGGGTTAGCAGAGTATATAAAGCCTTTGGGGATGTACATATAAGATGCGATCATCCTGAGCAATTGCTTTCTTGGATCAATTCTAAAGAGCCTGAAAATGCTCCATTATATGTAACAACCAGGCAGGAGAATTATATGGGCTTAGAAAGGGGGTTACCTTTTACAGGAATACAGCTCACGGCTGGCTGAAGCCCAGAAAGAAAGTCCAGAAAGAAAGTCCAACAAAGGAACCTGGTGGGGGAGGTCAGCATCCTGCATGACCGGCCCTTAAGGGCAGGTGGAAAAAGAAAAAAAGTGCTTGTGCACCTCATTCCCATCATTTGAGATAAAGATCCCATGTCTTCTTGACATGGGATAGGGAGATAGTATGAAGGGGTGATGCACAGTAGTCAGAGGATAAACTCTGCTGATCCAGGAGCACAAGGGATGTGCAGCATGGACTCTGCAGGAGGGCTTGGAAGCAGTTAGGATCTCTTTAATTGGTACCAAGGAATTTTGCAAATAAAACTCAAGTTCAGAAAGGATGTGAGCTTTGGAGAGATGTGAACCTCTGCAGAGCTTACGGGTTTGCCTGGAGCATGGTGATAAAGCACCTTCACACTATTGTCCCACAAACCGCAAACCTCCTTCCCACCACTGCCTGGTCCTGCTTAGGATGGAACTGAGCCTCCTTACTTGGATAAACAGAGGGCAAGGATCTGATATCCCAGTCCTACTGGGATACTTAAAACTGGATCCTACTTAAAACACTTGGAGTAATCTTAAGTGGCTTGCACTGAATGGGAGCTTTGCCAAGCTCATCGTACAGAAGAAGGGGCAATGAGAAGGCACCATGAGACCTGCTGTGATTAAGTGCCTCATCCAGAAGAATGCTGGTCGTCCTTACCTTGGGCATCCTGCGCAAGTTGGGAGAGAGCTTCAGGCAGGTGACATGGCCTCGGTCATCTCCAATGATGACAACGGGGTAGACTGGGTTAAAGCGGACGTGGGTTATTTTGTTTTTCTTCTTGGCCACCACTACTTGGATGCATATAGCTTCATACTTATTGACACTCAGATCGAACACATGGGCCTGAGGAACAAAGGCAGAGAACACAAAGGGATTAACCAGGCGACAACACGCTCCCCGCTGAACAATGCTTAGAGAAATCACAGAAGGAAAAGGTTCTGTGGAAAGCCACCTTCAGCACACAATTACCATCTGCAATCAGTGTCCTTGCCATCGGAGGGAAGGGAAGCACAGAGAAATGAAACATGGGCACAGAACAGCTTAGTGTGGACAGCCCATGCCAGCCCAGCTGCCTTGGACACTGGGCCTGCACAGAAACCCTTCTGCAGCGTTGACACAAATGCCAGGTAAAGGAGGGCTGAACAGGATGCATGGAGCAGGACAGAGCCCAGGATTCCCACTGGAGCAGACTGCAGCCCTGTGGCACTAAAACAGAGCTCATTTCAGCTGACTCCAGGGGGAATGATGGCAGCTACACAAGTAAATGTGTTAACATTATCTCCCAGTAATTGCAGTTAACTCTTATCATTGATACAGCGTGCAAAGGCTAATAAAATATGACGTTCCTGTCTTCTCTGGTGCTGATCTGAGCAGTCTCTGGCATCTTGGACTCCCACCTAGATTCCACCGTGGACATTTCAGCCTTATACTTCTTGTCCCCCTTTTTTTTTTTTGTCTTCAGAAAAATAGGCAAGAAAGGAAATATTTCATGCTAACAAGTATGGTGGGAATACAGGGAAAAGGAGGATCAAACTAGTTCATATCTCCTGCCAGCTGTGTCTTGTTTACCACCACTTAGGAGCCGGATGAGACATATTATTTCAGCAATTTGCCATGCTCACAACTTGAATCTAGGAATTAGTTTAAATTGGACTGCAGTATCCAATAAAATGCATTTCAAAGAACACGGACGGATTTGTAACAACTGGTTATATGTGCTTTCTTATCACACACCAACAAGTTGGTGTTCTTTTTTTCTGAAGCTGCTCATGGCAGAGAATTGGGCAGCCTGCAAAGACACAGGTCCCAGGTGGTCTCACATGCTGGTGCATCTCGGTAGGGCTCGATGTCCAACAGTTTGTGATATCCTTAGTCTGGGCTGGGGAACCATGCTAAAGTTCTACAGACGCAAAAAAAAACCCCAAAGACCAAAGCAAAAATAACAGACTTAAAGACAAGTAAGAGCTTGGGAAAAGGAGAGACATCCCTGGCAGCTTATCATTCCAGTCTGGAGTTCAAAGCCTCAGGCACAGCCAGTTTGGAGAGCCCTTCCCTTCTCCATGAACCAAATGCATAGGTGGAAAACAAGATTTAAGTTTCATCCACTCAAAATATCAGTTCCAGGACCAAATTCTGCACCTACATCTGAAATCTGAGATCCCGCTCTCCAGGCAAGGCATTCCCAATTTGCCAACTCTGCGTATAAAAGGTGGCTATCCTGGTTTGCACATTGTGCCCGAGATGTTACTGTCTCTAAAACAGAACAAACTCTCTTTTAAGACCCTCCGTGACCCACATGCACTGAAGATTTAATTGCCTGGCTTCATTGAATATATTTTCCCTAATTTAAGGGCATGATTCTTCTCCCCAGTGACACAAGATCAATACGTGCTAACCTAAGAGCCTGGGAAATGCCCATTTCTTGAGTAGCGTCAATTAATTAAAAGGGGGAAAAAAAGAAAAAAGGCAATATGGAATTAGCAGCCGTGCTCCTCCTCAGCAGCAGCTGGTGTTTTACAAGGGTGTCGATGCCTCGCACCCTTACACCACAGCCAGGCTGCTGTGAAGCAAAGACAGCTTCGCAAATGGTCAGTTTAGGAGCACCGAGCAATGCAAATTCTTCTGGGTGAGGCTGTTTTTGCAAAATGCCACTGACAGCCCCGACAAGCACAATGCCTGGACAAGAACTCGAGACCATCGGCAATGCGGAGAAGGTCAAACGCAAACAAGTTTATGAATGCTCCACTATAAAGCTCCTCTTTTATGAGCTTCTAAACAAATGGTCTTGTTTTCCTCTGCCAAGGGAATCGGGGAAAAGAACGAGCTATTTCAGTGCTTCGGCTGGAAACATCAGCCTCATATCAGCTGGCAGACGCTCCAGATGGAGGGGTGGGCCACAAGTCCTAGGAAGGACTTTAGAGGTTCTGATTTAGAGGATCACAGCCATGGTTAGGGGAAGGGAAATGGGGTCAGAGCAGCGCTGCTGTTGGTGGTTTGGGAAAACCCTTGAGCAGGTACCGTGCTTACCAGAGCACCTAAGGCAGCCTCAGGGGAGTGTAAAGCAGCAGAATGGTGTGGGATCAGCACAGGCTGCAGGTCGGCCTGGGGTCTGGGGCAGGGCTCTCTGCCCAAGCAATGGATGACTGAAATCCCACGTCTCTTTGAAGCTCCTCATCCAATGAGTTGCCCTGCTCTAGGTTATGATCCAAGGAGAAGAGGATTACGGAGCAGGCTCCAGGTGGGTCTCCCAGCGCAGGGACTCCCCAGCAGCACACAGCTTCTCTCCACACTGCAGCACAGGGGGCCCTCAGCCCTCGCGCCTGCAGATCACTGCTCACAGGCAAAGTCAGCCGCACAGCTCTCACAAGCTGAGCACCTAGTTCCTCTCCCTGCTTGCCCCTTTCCTCCTACTGCCAGCAGCTACAACGTGGCGCCATGGTCTGGACAGGGATGTGCAGTGCCATGGGCAGCCTGGTGACAAGGGAACTTGGAGCAGGAGAAAGTGGCCCTGTGCCACCTCCAGCTGAAGGTACTGTGAGAAGTCACCTTCCCTACCTAATGCCACCAGCCCTCTCCAGGTATATGATGCAGAGAGCTGCAACCTGAGTCCGTGCATGTCCCGAGCACCAGTGTGCCAGGAAGCTGCAGCATCCCGAGGGGACCACCATGAGGCCCTGGGTCAGCACTAAAGCGGGAGGCCAGCAAGAGCAGGTGCCTCCTTCCTTCCTTCTCGGGGCTTGGGTTCACCCAGGAGCACCCAGATGGAGGGGGCCACCCTGATGCTGTCAGGCAGCTGGTGCAAACAGGTGGTTTCAATGGGTCTGATACCTGCTTAACATCCATCACGTGGTGGACAAGGGTTGTTAGATGCCCTCAGGGCCAGCCTGTTTCTATGCCTCTAGCCCATAGTTCCTCACTCAAAACCACAGCAGTACCCACTCTGCTTTTATCTCCAGCTACACAGCAAGGCAGTGATGCTTTCCAGAACGTAACGCTTCCCAATCCAGCGAATCCACAGCAACTATAACCATTTGCCCGTGGTCCTGCAAGCAGAGAGCGTAGCTTCACTGGGAACACAGCACACAGCACCTTGCCAGTGAAGGGCTCTGTGCCAGGGCTCCTGCTTGGGGCTGTTGTGACATCAAGGACTGCCCAGGAACAAAGAGCAGATTAAAGAAGAAATCAGTGCAGGTCCCACTGTGGGTGGCCCCCTATTTCCTGCCAGCCCTGGTGTCACCTCTGACGGTGCCCAGCACCCAGCACTGCCCTCCCTGCTTTGGGACACCCTGGATGGCCGTGCTGGAGCACGATGCTTCACGCCCCTTGTTTGCTTCTCCACCATATTCACCCAGGAGCAATGCAGGAACTGTGGAGCAGGGGCTTCAAAAAGGGTTTCTTCTGTGGGGCATGACATCAAAGAGGGGCTGGAGCCTCCTAACAATAAAGTTGCTTCTCTAAGATACCTTCTGCAGGACACTTAGAAACAAAGTGGGGACCTGCAGGTCTTTGCTGCTTGCAAATCACAGCAGGCACCTTCGTCCTTGCTGCTAATAAGTGCTCAGCTAATGAGAAAGGGCATTTCAGTTCTCTTGCTACACGGTCCCTAGGAACAATACGTAGCCGCTTTCTCGGAGGGACATAAATCAGGCTCTGCGAGCAGGAAACCTGAGAATGGAGAGGCGCAGACAGGGAAGGAAAGGAAAGCTGAAATGGCCAAACTGAGGAAATTAAGAACTCTCCTTTGCTCCCCGCAGCTCAGCTGCAGATCCCTGGGGAGAACTGAGAGCTGGGCAGCTACCAATGATCCTAATGGCAGTTTTATTTATGGTCCGTGTGAACCGTCCTGCTCGGCCCAGAGCAGTGCAGGAGGACATACCACACACCACCCTCCACATGAAGCTTCTCCTGCTCAGCGAAGCAGCTCCGTGCAGCACGGGGATTTATGAGCTGCCATCTATAACTGTCACAGGGAAGCTGGACACCCAGCACCGAAGTGACAGACAGTCTGACGGCAGATATGACAGCCAGATGTTCACAGCAAACTTCCCCATGGTGCACGGACAGTAATTCTGATCAGTCAGTACCCCCTGGAGAGAAGCACTCACACTGAGCAGATGCCCACTTATCTCTGCGCTGGGATCTGATGAACCTTGCAACCTCTGTCAGATACTTTCTATTCAATAAGAACATATCTAAATTACTGTCACAGTAACAACAAGGCCTCAGTGTTTGATGTATAGGCAATAATGGATGTAACTCAGCTGTGTTACGCTTGCAGAAAATATCTGTCTTAAACGAGCCACTTTGATGCCTAACTCTTGAACAGCCAGAGGAAGAATCCAGCTCAGCTGCATCCAGAGCTACAGATCCTTCATCTATGAATCATGCAAATATATTCCTCCTCCCAAAAAACCTGCAGCTCCTGACAGAGGCTCCGCACGGCCGCTCTATAAGCGCAGCATAGTGCAAGTCTGGGGGTATTACTGTATCTCCAGCGTTAAACCATGCTCAGAGTTTTAAATGACTCACTTCTCCCTGCCCGCCCTACAAACTTTGCTCACAGCCTGAAAGTCAGACCAGTCTCTCATCCTCTCACCAGTTCCCAGGAGCTCTTTGGTGCCTCGGACCTTTCGATCTTTGTGTCGTGCTGTTCCCCACAGCCCTGCAGCCTCAGCACTGCATTAGAGGGCCACTGCACACTGGAGCTACTGGAAATCCCAGCACAGAAGGGGATCGGATGGATCCTGCCCTCAGGCAAGCTGGCCCCACAGCTCAGGAGACTTGAGTGGAGGCAGGACAACAACCCGGCAAGGCCAGAGCACGATCTGGTGGAGAGCAGGACC